TAAGGCCTACCAAGGATAGGCCTATCTCAATATATGATATATGCTTTTCTATTAAAAAGTAGCTTCTAGCCTCACATACACTGCAAATTTGAACAAAGCATGTTTCAAAAGCTGGAACAGCAGAGGATATATAATAAAAGAATATCAGGCTTTTTAAATCAGGCTCTGATCTTAGCCTGATGTAATATGGATAAAAATTGCTACTGATAAGTCCATTCCAGGAACATTACTCAAAATGTGAAGATTTTGGAAATGCTGAAGATCATTTTAATAAAATTTAAATTAAACACTCCTTTGCTGTTCCAAAAAAAAAAAAAATCAGTAAAAGAACAAGATCTCACCCTCTAAAAAAAATCTAATTCCTGTTTTACTCTATGGACAACAAACAGCATCCTGCAAATTATAGAAGAGCATCTACAGCTCTGCCTAATTGCCCCTACCTGAATACATGACACCAACCTCCCTTCAGTTCCTCTCCAGCACCTTAATTGCTCTTATATCCTGGCCAGGGTTAAAAAGCAAGAGTTTAGTACTGCAGGATGGATCCCTACTGCTAGTGTTAGGCATGACATCTAATTCACGTATCCATATCGCACCAGAAGACTTATCCATCAAATGTGAGTGATTTTCATCTGTCGATCCAGGTTTTACCAAGAGGACAGAGAATTTATCATTTCAAATTCCAAATTCTTTTGCCACATTTAAAATATACATTATCTTGCAATTATGCAAGTAAATTTATAGAAGTTAAATCAAAATTTCAGCACAGCCTTACATTAACAACACCTCAAAAGACAGGCAGTTGCACTGCAGGTTACTCCGTTTCTCTCAGCTCCATAGATCTTATGATGTATAACACAATATTACATATACTACAATTACAAGTGTTAGACTGAAAGATCGTGCCACAGAAGGAAATCCAAAGGATGCAAGTTGATAATTACTTAGGTCTAGGCGACAGGAATTTTGCACTTCTTTTGGGGGGATTTCTTTCTCACCCACATCCATTAGTGCTCTGTCCCGCACCTAGAACAAGTCAAAAGGATGGCTCTGAAAAAAAAAATTAGACTAGCACAACAGCAGTAAGCTTTGTGCAGCTAGCAAATTCAGTGCTACTTCAAGTGAACCAGCTTGAACTGTATTGCAAAAATGCATTTGAATGTGAGGGAAGCATCATCATGCTGAGGTTTGCATTCATTACACATGTAGAGGCCCACTACACATCAAGAGGCCCATGTGGCTGTCTTGACTCCTGGCACATGTAGATGTATTAACTGGAAAGCCTTAAATAAACTCATGAGCCTTCTTCTCTGAAGTCAGCTCACAGTCTTGAAACAGAGCCTCAAACATGTTTAATTTAAAAGAAAACTATTAGATCTTAGACAGATTAGCATGATGATTTTCGGTCTCTCATTACATCAGTCTGATGCACATACAACTCAGCATAAGCCAGCTGAACTGGAACAGAAGACAACTCCCTGATTTAGGGTCATCTAATATATCCCAAAAAGGCAAATGGAAGAAGAAAAGATCACTGTGAAATATTGTCTATAAAGCTTTATGTATAGTATCTACTTATCCCTGTAAAGAGAAACAGAAAGAATTAAGCAGGTAGCAAGTTTGAAGTTGTTTTTTTTAAAAAAAAAAAAAAAAAAAAAAAGTAGTTATGTAGAGGTCTTCCTCCTGCCCTCATCTCTGCACAAGTTTCTAGCGATGAGGTCTCTAGCTGGTTGTGATCTAGCCTGTTAGCAATCCAGTCATGCCCTTGGATCCCAGCCGGGTCCCATGACAGCAATTCACTGGCCTTGCACGAGTCAGCATTGCTCCCCGGGCCTTGATGCAGCTCTGGCCACAGCCTCTCCACACTGTTAAGTGATTCCATTTGGAAGCCAACAACGTCAATTTAGCAGATTACCAGAGTTGAAAAAAAAAAAAAAAAAAAAAAAAAAAAAACCCCCAACGGGG